AGGCGTCGCTCCAACGTGATGACTATGAGAGATGTGAGCGTTCTTAGTTTTCTCGTCTGCGATTGGTCTTGTTCCACGTCATCTCCGGAACTCACTGTCGAGGCTTGCAATGCCATTCTGGAGGCCAAAAGGATGCTCCCCTTTGAACGTGATCCAATTTTGGATGAAATTGTTTTTATCATGAGTTGATCAGTTTGACACGCTTGTGCGTGGTTGTCTCGGCGTTCTGCATTATTTCCCTTTAAGTCAAGGCGTTCGTGAAATCGTACGTTTTTTGCTGTCTTGCAAATTTATTTACGCTTCCACACGGTCCTGTAAAATCCAGACGCCGCCCCATTGAACGTGAATTGATTTATGAATTCCTTCTTGAGCAGTCTAATTCCATTCACGATTTGTACTTCAATGCGGATTGGGATGAATAAACGCATAGACAAATACTAAAGATTGCCAAGTCGTCTGCTAAGGTTTTCGAGGACATATCGCATGATGACCTTGAGCAACATGCTCTCACTTTTCAACTAGCAGATGTGGTGGATGAAGGCGGCGAGAAGGTGCGGTGAAGAAATGTAACTGGTCTGCAGGTGTAAAGGTATGCACGTACATATGTATGCACATATATGCCCGTGTGCTGAGTTCTTCCATCTTACCGTCCTTTCCCACAATTGGGAAAGCTACCGTATCTTTCTGTGTGTCTTTATTGTCTTTTATACTCAGCCGTTGTTTTGTGTTTGTGGAGTTTTTAAAGGGTAACGGCAAACAACATCGGGAGTTGAGGAGCCGCTTTTTTTTTTTTCACTTCTTGGATGTGAGTATGGGCCCGCCTCTTTTATGGCTTTACAAGCATTTGTAAAGGGTGTAACTGGTGAGGGACTGCCTATTGTTACACCTGCAAAGCAATGTAACCTAGTGTTACTTTTTTGTTTTTGTTTTACCGAGGCACAATATGAATTGGCTACGATTGGGCCTGAAGACAGGCAACAAATTTTCGTTTTATTTTTTGTCCTTGTCACGTCCAGCCAGCCCTTATTGGGCTTTACCTCGCGGTGGGGCCGTCGGCTGTTTTTGGGAGAAGTCCGACAGGAACCTCCCATTCGCGAGCAACACATAGATGTATACAATATTGGAATTCATTTAAACAGTTTTATTTTTTTGTTTCCTGTTTTTTTTTTTTTTCAAGCCACATCGATTGTGTGCTGGTCGGGGCGTGTGAACTGTTGCGTTGCTCTTTGGTTTATTTCGTGCTTGCTTCTTTACGTCGCTCGAGTGGCAGCCCTTGAGGAGGCCGGCCCGTATTCGTTTCTCGCCTTTCATTTGTTTGAGCCTCGAGTTTAGAAGATGCTTCGACGCACCTTTGCCATCGTACAAAAGGGTGAACGGGGGCTTTATTTTCCCATCAATCACCGTATTGTGGATTGTCGAGTTGCCCCCGGGGTCACTGTGGAGGAAGCGGATGTGCAGTCACGATATCGTCGTGAGCTCCGCACGTGCTTTACCACCGGGGAAACGCGACAGACTGTACCCCCCGTCTGGAGTGCTCGCGAAAGGCCTACACACTTTTTATCGTTGCGTCTTCCGGTGAAGAATGTACTAAAGACGCGTGTGAATGAGATGCATAATCAGATTCTCTTTTCCCACCAGCAGCACGCGCCCCTGCTTGTCCCACTAGCAAAGCTACACATTACCTTGGGTGTGATGACCATTTCGGAGAGTGAGGAAGCGGAGAGGTTGGCATCCATTCATGAGTGTGTCTCGGAGGTGTTTTCGGCGCTTCGTCCGCTGCAACTGCGGTTCAGAGGTTTGGGGACGTTTGGGTTTGGCCGTGTTCTTTTCATACGTGTTGTTCCCGAGGCGGATTTTAGTGTGCTCGACGCCGCTGTTTCCAAATTCCGTCGAGGGGTTGGGGGGGAGTTAAAAGTAGACATAAAGGGCAACCCACACGACTCTTACGTTCCGCACATTACTGTCGCCAAGATTAGGTCCAACCAGCGGGCGCAGTTTGGCAACAAGATACCCTTGTCGATGTGGGCAGGGTATCAACACCACGATTTTGGGGATGTGACGTTTTCGCAGGTTGATATTTGTCGCATGCGGGGGGCGACGGACGGGTATTACCACACGGAGGCCTCCGTCCAGTTGTCGTAGATGCGGAACGAACTATTGGTCCCCCAGCTGCTGAGCAGGACACATCATTTCAAACGCACCGAACGAAGCCGAGTGCTGACACACCACCGCAAATATTCCCATTTTTTTGGCGGTGCCTCTTTCTCTCCCCCCCCCCCCCCCCCCTTTTTTTTTTTTTTTGTAATGTATTACTTGTTTTTTCTCTTTTTTCTTCTGACGCCTTGTTTTTACTTTTGAAGGTTTTTATCGCCTCCCGCAATGGAGTCAGGCAGAACTAAAAGTGTTGCAAAGGGCGCGGTGAATGAAAAGTCTGAGCATAAAACACCACTGGGCATCAGCATGTCAGAGAAACACAAGGCGCAACTTCGCGAGGCGTTTGATCTTTTTGACTCGGAAGGAACGGGGCGCGTTAAGGCGCCCGACGTGAAGGTGGCTCTTTGTGCTCTTGGTTACGATGTCAGCAAGGAGGAGCTGTCGCAGCTGCTCAAACAGGTGGGCGGGTCCATCGTTGGTGGGGTGGATTTTAATGAGTTCTACTGCGTTCTGCTTGCAAAGATGGCGCAACGCGAAAGCCGATCCGAGGCCATTCGCGCCTTCAAGCTCATAGATGTTGCAGAGAAGGGGTACATTTCCGTAGATTACCTCCGTCCCATTGCCGACTCATTGGAGATGGATCTGACGGATGATGAGCTGGCGGAGATGGTGCTCTTTGCCCACTCTTCCATTGCTTTTGGAAAAAATGCAAATGACATTAAGGACCCATTGACGGTGAGCGAAGAGGAGTTTTTGAAGCTCATGGGACGTGCTCATGTATATTAGTCCTCCACCTGCGAGTGAGGAACAAGTGCACCCCCACAACGGCAAGACCAACTAGACGCCAAACTATATATATATATATATATATATATATTGGTATTGTTATTATTGCTAATTGTTATTATTTTTTTTTTTCTTCTTGTCTTGTTTTTCCCCTGTATCTTTTCATGGGCAACAGTGTGATGTCTGTGCTGAGCGTCTTTTCCTATTTTATGTGGACGCAAAAGGGTAGGACGGTTTTACCGTTGACCCGCGGCAGTGGATTTATTGTAGCGTTTCAACAGATTGGCTGTTTCTACAGGTATCACGTACTGAGCGTGGCTCGCGTGACATGCCCTGTGAAGTATCGTCATATATACGGGGACACAGTTGGACTCCGGGCGATTGGTGAGCGTCACATTAGCACAAAGTTTCTGAAGCCAGGGAGAAGTGGAGCGGTACAAGCGTCAGTCGATCTATAATTTGCACAGTCGTATCTCCTCAATGTGGATGTTGTGTCTCTCAGGCGCAAAGATGAAGGACAGGTAAGTGAGCTTTGTTTGCTGCCGTTTGAATTAGACTTTTATGTTATTAAGGAGGGCACAGAACTTCTATTTTGGAGGGTGACAACGGAGGAGGAGAGAGCCAATCCAAACGATGATGGCCTCCGTCTGAAAGAAGCTTGTCTTAAGGGCGAGTGTCGGGCGGCCCTCGTCTCCCTTGACTACGGTACGGTTGTCCTGGCGCCATTGAAGGCTCCTCTAGGTTTGAGTATGTGCGGTGGGCCTGTGGTTTGGAAGGACAACGGGTGGTGTGTCGGTGCCATTGTCGCTCAGGCCTTAAAGAACGCCCCACCTTCAGGCCTCTACGTAGCTCCGTTGTACAGTGATCCGTGGTTGGATCTCTCGCACAACGAGGCCATTCACGTCCGTGGTAAGTTGGATGTGGCGTTTGTTCCTGTTAGTGAGTTCTATGACCCGCTTCGACGCTGCGAAATGTGAGTTGAAGTTCATTTACTTTTGTTTCGTTTGCGTCTTTTGATGTGTGTGTGTGTGTGTGTTGGCGTGTTGCTTCTTCCATCTTTATTTCTTATTAATACTTTTTGTTGTTGTTTGTTGTTGCCTTGTCTACGAGGAGACGGCATTCGCCCTGATGGGGATGTAATGCTTTTTTTTTTTGGCTCTTTTCCCGGCTGTGGATCTCTTTTTAGCCAAGGTGGGGGGACTATCATTGCTTTGGAAAAAAACCAAAGGGCAGAAGATGGTGAAGAAGCAGCCGGGGGCTGAGAACATCCGCGTGGTTGTTCGATGTAGAAACTTGTTGCCGTACGAATCAGAGCGTGGTGATAAGGCCCTCGTGCGACTTGACCTTGCGACAAACCAAGTTATTGTACATCATCCTATTGGAGATGCCGACGGTTTTACGTTCGATGCCGTGTACAACAACACCTACACACAGCGTGATATATTTCTGCAGGAGGTACACCCACTTGTAGAAGCTGTGCTTCAAGGCTATAATGCAACGGTATTTGCCTACGGCCAGTCCGGTTCCGGCAAGACGCATACGATGACAGGTAAGCTGAATGATCCCCAACAGTGGGGTATGATGCCGCAGGTGGTGAATTATCTTTTTAATGAGGTTAAAAAATTGACTTCCACCACAAAAACGTTCAAGATTAGGGTTTCCTACGTGGAGCTGTATAACGGCAAGTCGCGGGATCTTTTGACCTCAAAGCAGGTAAACCTTGAAATAAAACAAAATATGTCAAAAAATTTTTATGTGAAAGGCGCTGAAATGCCGGAAGTGACAAGCTTTGATGAGGCTATTCGCTGGTTTAACGCTGGAACGATGCGCCGACAGACTGCCTCTACCGATTTGAATGATACGAGCAGTCGATCTCACTCACTATTCACCCTTCAGGTGGAGCAGTTTGATTTTGAACAGGATCCAAGCTCTCCTATTCTTCTTACAAGCAAAATCAACGTTGTGGATTTGGCCGGATCGGAGAAGTTGAGCAAAACAAACGCCACAGGTGAGACGGCGAAGGAGGGATGCAATATCAACCTCTCACTTTCAGCGCTCGCAACGGTCATTGATACAATTGTGAAGGGTGGGAAACATATTCCTTATCGGGGTTCGCCGCTGACGATGCTGCTCAAGGATTCCCTTGGTGGTAATGCCAAGACTGTCATGTTTGCTAATATTGGACCGTCCGAAAAGAATATTTCGGAGACCATATCAACCCTTCGCTTTGCCCTACGAGCGAAGCAGATTGAGAATAAGCCCGTCAAAAATATGGATCCAAAAGATGCTCGTATTCAGGACTTGTTGGATACGATTGAAGAGCTTAAGAGCCGGTTGGGGAATGTTGACCTCAACCAGGAGGACCAACTTCGACAGCGCATCGAAGAGCTTGAGGTTGAGAATTCCGATCTTCGCGGCGGTGGTGAGAAGAACAGTCTCGAACTTGAAGAAAACATACGTGTCCTTCAGGCCCAGCTGGAGGGGGCAAATCAGATTTCTGCTGAGAAGCAAAAAGAGGTAGAAAAGGGCGTAGATGCCCGCTTGCTTCTGGAGTGGGATCTTCAAAATGAAGTGGGGCATGGAAAGGAGCTTCGGTCTCTGGCAGTGAATTTTATTAAACGGGTCTGTCAGGAGGAGCAATTGCAGGAAATTCGCCGCAAAATGCCGCAGGATGGCTCTTACAATACAACCGATGACGGTTGGGATGTGAAGGAAATTGATTTCTACCTGAAGGAATTTACATCCATGTACGAAGCCTGGAGGCAGTCGATGTACACGCGAGAAGATTTAGAAAAGTACGCCCAAGCGTCTGTTAGTGGTGCTTTGGCGCAAACACAACGTCACCTTGATGAAGTTATCCGTGCCCGTGATGAGTTGCTACGCCTGCGGCAAGAGGACTCTGCAAAGCGTGCGGCAGAAAATGAATTACTTTCACAGTTAAGAGTTGATTTAAGCACACTTAGGGACGATAACACCAGGCTGCGGGAAAAGATTGAACGAGACCAGGAACGCATGAAGGCTAAAATTGCCAAAAGCAAAGATGAGTACAAGTCCTTGGTAGACGAACTGGAACGCTCCAAGGCTTTGGTGACCGAAAAGGAACACGACATTGAGCGGTTGAAGCGAATGTTAGAGGAGAGTGGTAACAACGCCTTGTTTGCGGCTTCCACAAGTGGGGTATCGCCATGGTCCGGCGTTGATGAGCGAACTGCAATTTTTCAGAAGCTGGATGAGGAAAAACGTGTCAGGAAGGCCTTGGAGTCACGCATCAGAGAAGTGAATGTCTCGCTTCGCCGCTACGGGGTTTGTATCGCGGATGCCGGGGAGATGGACGACGGATCCCAAGAGGTTGCTGAACGCACTAATGCACTTATACTTGCGGCAGTGACGGAAGACGACACCATTGATGGGGATCTTTGTGCCAAGTTTCAGCAGCAAATTCGGGTCAAACAACGTCTAACAGAACTTCGTCACCAGCACCAGCGTAAGTTGGAAGATATGCTGAGGAAGTACGAATTTCTCAAAACTGGGAAAACTACTGCTAATGGCGGGGGGGGCGCCGAGGGTACGTTGCATACAAGTTTTGCAGATGACGCTACCGCACAGCAGATAAAGGAATTGCTGCAGAGAAAAGATGAAGAAATTGAACGCGTGATACAAGATAAGGAAAAGACCTGCGATAAGATTGTCAAGAAGCTTAACAAGTCTGAGATAAGAATAAAAGAATTAGAGGCGACTCTTGAGGAGGAGCGTGCACAATTTACTGAAGAGCGTCAGGAGTTGGGTTCTGAAAATTTGGAGCTTCAGAAGTACAATCAGCAGCTCTCGGTGGAGTTGGAAACACTACGAGGGCAATTGAGTGCGGTGAAGGAGGAGATGGACTCCATGGACCGCGCAAAGAGCGCTGAGATTGAAAAATGGAAAGAGGATGCAGAAAAAGGTGCCGAACGCCTTGAAGAGATGCGCTTTAAGATGGCTGCATACAGTGAGCTTCAGAAGAGTTACGATAGACTACAGGAGCAGCTTCAGCGCACCGAGGCGTCACTAAAGGAAAAGATTGATAGTCTGGAGAACACCAGGCAAATGGTGAAGTGGTCTAACTCCCTTCTTGCCACGGAGAAGCAGAAGTTGGAGCAGATGGAGATGATGGTGAAGCAGCAGGAGGTGGAGATGCGTCGTCGTGAAGAGTACCTAAGAAGTGAGATGATGGATGATATTAACAAGCAAGTGGCTGCAAACAATCGCCGCCTGCAAGAGCAGGCTGCACAGTATCAAGAGCTTATATCCCAAGAACAGGATAAGCAAAAAACAATTATGAAGAAGGTGAAGAGTTCAAGGAAGGAAACACAAAAAGCGGCTCAACGGTATGATGAGATGATTTTGGAAAACGAGGCTTTACTGTCGAAGCTGGAGGAGCTGAAGGTAAACTCCATGCGGATATTTTTGGAGAAGCAGGAGGCCCAAAGGGAATTGGAGGCATTGCGTCCCACACGACACGTCGGTGCTCGACGTCTCTGATGGCGGTGTCTAAGGTAGGTCAGGGTGGGACGTTTATGCCTTTTTTGTAATGAATTCTTCCCTTCAATGTACACGTTTTTATTTTATTTTATTTTTATTTTTTTTTCGTTTTTTTTTTATTGTTTTTTTTTTTTTATATATTCCTGGACACTGTGCAAAAGCCATTATTTGACAAATATAGTGGGGAGTTGGAGTTGTGTCCTCGTAAACGGGTTCGGTGAGGTGTGCTGCCTTTGGGCTTGGATCTCGTGCATATTTCTCTTTGGTCTCTTCTTTGATTCCCTCCTCTTGACAGGATTTTGCTTACATTGTTTTTTTTTCTTGTTCTGCGCGTGCCATTGCGGGTGATGGCACGGGACACGGCACAACGGACTTCTTTGGTGAGGGCAGGGCTGTCGAAAACGGCGGTGAAGAAGGAGAAGTTGGAAGTGAAGCGCAGTAAGCGAAGCAAGTTTACACCGGTTTCAGCCCACAGTAAGGGCAATCCCATTCACCGAGCCCTCAAATACCACGAGAAGAAGCTCCTTCGAAAACATGACTTTATGCAGTACCCGCAGGATAACTGGCATGAGCCCTTCTGTATCACAAAGTATCACCTAGAAGACCGTGAAGACTACCGGAGGTATTTGCGTCTGGTAGGTCTTACGCGGCAGCTCCTAGCACACCTTCGCTACCTTCCATCCGACAGCAAGATTCGAATGCAAATAACACAACAAGTTCTGGACAAACTCTTTACAATGGGACTTATTAAAGAGAAGCTTGGTTTGGCTGAGGTGGACAAGGTTGGTGTGGAGGCCTTTTGTAAACGACGGCTATCTACGGTTCTTCGTGATCTCAGCATGGCACCAAACTGTAAGCTTGCTGCTGAGCTTGTCTACCATGGGCATGTTCGCGTTGGCACGACACAAGTTAGGGATCCCGCTCTTCTTGTTCCAAAGGGCCTGGAAGACCTGGTGACGTGGATGCCTGGTTCAAAGATTAAACATCATGTGGACTACTTTAATGTCCAACGCGATGACTACGAGTAACATTATATATATGACGGGATAATTACGAATGCTCCCCTTGGCGTCAATCGGCGTACTAAGGCAAACAGTGGAAAGGAGATGTGTATTATTATTGCCCCCTTTTACTAATGCTGTTCTAGCGTCCAGGTTTCTACGTGTTTGCTTTTATTTTTATTTTTATTTTATTCTTTTTTCTCGGGATTGACTTTTGCAGTAAGCTACACTCTACTATTCTACAAGAAAGGAAGCGGAAAGTAAAACAAAAGAAAAAAACACACGAGAGAATAGTAGGCGAACGGGTAGGCAAGGAAACAAAAAAGGAGGAAAAAAAAAAGAAAACCCTGAGGACGAGGCGGGAAGGGGAGATATATATATAGACGTACGCCATACATTCATCATGTCTGCGGATCGTTCCTCACGACGTAAGGAGATGGATTTCATGAAGTTAATGAATGGCTCACGAAAGGTGCATCCATCAAATTCAGTTTCAGAGTTTTGGGTTGAGTTCCAGGGTCCTGAGGGAACAGCCTACGAAGATGGTACGTGGTTTATTCACGTGCAACTTCCGGCGGACTACCCATTCAAGTCCCCTAGCATCGGATTCAGCAACAGCATTTATCATCCAAATGTGGACGAGGCAAGTGGGTCTGTTTGCCTTGATGTGATTAACCAGACATGGACCCCCATGTATGAGTTGCAGAACGTCTTTGATCTTTTTCTCCCTCAACTCTTACGTTACCCCAACGCCTCAGATCCATTAAACTCTTCTGCGGCCTCCAAGTTGCTCCATGACCCCATTGCATACGTTTCTATTGTTCGTGAACACGTTTCAAGGTATGCCACAAGAGAAGCGGCGCTTGGAAGCATTCCGGCAGAGTACCGCCCGAGAAGCGAGGAGAGGACAAAGGGAAATGAAAAGTCCCGACATATATTGGAGGATTGCTCCCCAGCTACCTCTAAAGGGCTAACAGAAGCCCCGAACTCCCCATTTGGGAGCGAAGAGGAGTATGTGCCAGAGTCCATTGATATCTGAAAGGGAGGTGAGTAGATGGCACACAAAGGCAAGTTATTGAAGGAAACGTGAACGAAGAGGCATCAACAACATTAAAGTGAAAGATCATTGCTGTACGAATGAGTTGGACAATATATTTTTCTTTTAACAGTCTGTTTGGGGACTAAGTTCTAGTGATAAGGATGGAAAATTTCAAGGAATGGCAGGGGAGAGGACGGTAACAAACAGAAATATCAAAGTTTTTTTTATGCTGAACCACACCGCCCGGTTAGATGTGGCGCCGTATTTAACACGTCTGAAAGCCTGCATTCCTCACTGATGTATGTGTGTATGCATTATGGTGGGTCCCACCATTGTTGTTTTGTTTTCTTTTCTCTGCTTTTTGAGTTCTTGGTTTCAGAGTGATTCAGCTTATATTGTAATGAATGTTGAGAAAAGAAGAAAAGAAAACGCCTTGCTTATGCAAAGATTTGGTTTTGCTACCCCTCTTCAGGTGTTTTTCTCCCCACAGCTTCCAGATCACCTTTTAATTTTTACGTGCATGCTTATTATGCCTCTCTTTGGCTGTGCGCTTCCTCATAGCAAAGAATTGGTCGTTCTGGACCTCCCGTCCGGGATGATACAAGGGCAAAATAAAACGAATATAGTCGGTGCAATGGGGAGAGGAGGGATAACAATGATTCAAAAAAAAAACGTGGATGAAAGAGCTTTAGAGTGCAATTGGGCGTGGAGAGGACGAGAGGAAAGAAGGATGAGGGAAACAGGGACATTCCTCTCTTTTGTGAGTGTCAGATGACAATGTTGCGAGGCCCCTAGTTGTTTTTATTTTACCTTGTTGGGTGTGCTTCTCTGCGTGCTTTGCAGCACGGGTTCACGTTTTACCTATACGTCCTCTTCTGCTTAGGGTGCTGTGGTGTAGGGGAGAAGCGGCCGTGGCCCACAGTAATGGTGGAGGTACGGAGGTAGGGTGCACAATCGCCCTCGCCGACGTACTCGCCGGCTTGGAGTCGAAGAAGTACCAGAGGTGGACCTGGCATTGGCGCGCGTGGGTGGATGTGTGTGCGGTCTGCTCCAAGTTTTGGTACAGCGTGCACCTACCATGTCGTCCTGAAGTGGCACTTTGTTTTGTTTTGTCAAGAAACCACATACACATACAAAAACACAACAAAAAAACAATGACTGTTTTTTCTAATGAGTTGTACAGCCTCTCCATTGGTGTTCTCTTACAACAGGGAGTCGTTGGTGAATGCCTGGAAGAAGAGATCAACGAGCTCAGGAAAGAGATGCCTCCATTGTTTCAGTCTATCATTTAAGCTCTCAACTTGGAATAGCGAGTACAGTTGAGTCTCTTACTCTTCGTTTTTCTCCCGCATTGATCAATGACCGGGCTCCGTGCGTTCTTGCAGCGATTGTGAGGATGCACACCGTCCTTCTAGGACCTTGTTTAACTTCAGAGATGAAAATTTGTTTGTATCTCGTTTTTGTCGTTTGAACTACTACTTGTGTCGCATGTCTTGTTGTTGTGTGTTTTTTTTTCTCTTCCATCTTTCCTTGAATGCCAAAGGAAATGAGCACAAGGAAGTTGGTGACGCCGCTGGATGTGCTTCGTAACTGTAGGGGGAAGGTGGTGTCGGTGGAGTTGGCGAACGGAGAAACGATCAATGGAACTGTAATGAAAGTTGACAGATCAATGAACCTAGTGCTGAAGCAGTGTGTTCGAACAGGCGCTGCGGGAGACGTGTTTTGGAGGTCGCGTGAATCACTCATTCGAGGAGCAAGTGTGCGGAAAGTGCGGATGGACGAGCGGGCATTGGTGGTGCCTGAAGCACGCACGGCAGAGAAAAAGAAGGCGCGTCCAAGCAGTAAGAAAGAGACCACGGCTGGAGTGAAGAAAAATCGAAGTAGCTAAACCGTCTTTTTTTTCTTGAGGGGGGTCACTATACGTGTTTTTTTAAAAAATATATACATGTTTTTTTTGTTTTTTCCCGTCTCCATGTATTTTTGAGTTTGTGGTGTTTCTGTATGCAACATCTTGCTTTTTTTTTTTTTGCTTTTTTTGTTGTTGGTGTGTGTGTTTCTCCTCTTCTGATTGAACCATTCTTGTAGAGAAGGCTTCAAGTAGCCGATATCAAGGCATGGATTCAAAGGGGCGAAGTGGGAAAGGCAATTTGCTTGGGCGGGGAAATGTTGTGCTCGGCGGGGCCGGCACGAATGGCAATCAGCACCTCTACGGGCGCCGCCATGTTAGTGGTGTGGGCGGCGTATTGACGAATGCCTTTGTTGCGTCTCCAGCTTCACTGTACAACACCCCCCAACCCGTTGACCCGTTTTGTCAACATCTCTCTGATCCCTTCCCTTCCACCCCGTACACACCTGTGGGGCATTTATACATGTCAGCCGCTGTGCGGAACGCAAGACCGAATGCCCCGTTGTTGATGCACTCTGCCATACCCAATATCACTCCCGTAACAAGCTCGAAGTTTGCCCACTACATCACAATCTACAACATGGAGAATGCGCCGGCGCCAAGTCTAATGAATTCCAAGCTAACGACGCAAATGTATCAAACAACAGCTCGCTACACAGGCAAATATATTGCCTTGCGTCGTCTTGTGATGACCTCTGCAACCGCAGAGGAGTGCATTGCAGTCAATGAACGATTTCGTCACTACCGGCATCCCAATCTAGTCCCACTAACAGGCATTATTCTTACAGATGAGTTTGTTATGGGTAGCAATGACGCCATTATGGAATATAAATTTATTTCCGGAGCAAAAAGCCTTCATGAAGAGTTTTTTCTTAAGGGGCGGGCAACGGAGGGTCTTTTGTGGTCCTTTGCATGTCAGATGGTTGGTCTTCTGCGTGCGTTTCACGAAACTTCCGTTCCATTGCGTGGACTCCACTGGTCCAAGATCTTGTACGTTTCTGTGACGGGGAGGTTTTACTTCAGTGGAATAGGGCTTGTTGACTTGGTGGAGGCGCGGAGCACCAACGCTAGCACAACGGTAATGATGAAGCAAGACATTCAAGCACTTGGGATTATGCTACTGCAGTTATCTACGCGTAATCTGGCAGCACGGCTAGATGACATTTCGAATCAACCCATGTCTGGGTTTTCAAAAACGTTTTGGACACTTGTGAAGGCATGCCTGGAAGGGGTGCCAGACATTCGAGACCTGTGTTGTGCCTTGGGAGAACGCATGTCGATGGAGGTGGCACATCAAGAAGGGCACGCAGACTATCTGGTTTCGCAGTGTGCGAAGGAGGTTCACAATGGTCGTCTTATGCGACTGATGGTTAAACTCAATTTTGTACTAGAGTCCTTACATGAGGTTCCCGAAAACAGCACAGAGGCACATAATCGTTACGCTCTGCGACTCTTCAGTCAGTACGTTTTTAATCAAGTTGACGAGCATCATCGTGTTCGTGTAGACTGGGGCCACGTATTTCACTCCTTAAACAAATTGGATTGTGGATCTGAGGAGTTGGTACAGCTTATCGGCAATGATGACGGGAACACAATCTTAGTTATTTCTTACCGTGACCTGAGGGCTTCACTTGAAAGCGCCTTTGAGCAGCTGCAGCTGTCAGCGAATGATGCCGATATTCAGACGTTTTCTGTGACTGTCGGGGCCACGCCGGTTACCCTCCAGTAAGACACTCCCCGGTTGCTTGATGCGTGGTGAAAGAAGAAGAAAGTGAGAGAAGGGCGAAAGGGAAGTATAGATAAAGAGGGGAGAAAGAGAGAGAGAGCGACAAAGAGGGTGGAAAGAAAATGTGCGCGGGTGCATCCGGGAGGGTGCTTGTGAAAGTGATTTGAAGTTCTTGGCTTCATCGTCACCCGAATACTATCAGTGTTATTACACGCATATTTTTTCTTTCCACGGGGAAGGTGGTGCGTTTTTTTTTGCCGTTTCTTTGATATTTGAGGGCCGCACGATAAAAGAAAAGAACACATACTTGTATATATATATATATAAAAGCAACATCAACATACTATCATGTTTTATTCTTGTTTTTTTTTATTTTTTTTATTTGGGGTGGGGTGGGGTGGGATGGGGGGAGGGTTATTCTCTCTCCGTATCCCACGCGTTGCTGCCGCGCCCCTCTTCCTCACCGGCTGCAGGTTTCCACAGGAAAGTGCCGAGAGAGCAAAGAGGAGACGGTTACGAATGGCGGAGATGACAAAGGAGGTGCTGATTGCCGCGTGCAAAAACAATGGCGGCTACGCGGCTCCTCACCTCAACTGTCAGTTGTTCCTTCAGTGCCGAGGATTTCAACGCATTGAAAATCTTGAGGATTACGTGAACCTCAAGGTACTGTGGCTGGAGCAAAATGCCATTACGGAGCTGAACGGCCTAGAAACACTGCAGCAATTAGTCTCTCTTTTTGTTCAAAACAACATCATTACTTCTCTTCGTACACTTCCCGTGCTAAGCAACTTGCGCGTACTTAATGTGTCACATAACTACCTGACTTCTCTCGCCGGTCTTGCTCAGTCATGCGGGCACCTAGAGACGCTCCAGATATCGCACAACCTGATTGGCAGTCTGGATGCCTGTAACGAACTGTGGGAGCTCAAGGGGACCTTGACCAGCGTGGATCTTTCCTTCAATAAGATCGAGTTGGGTGAGGGAAAGTCAGGTCCCGTGGAATTCTTTACAAAGCTGCCAAATGTGAGTGTCATTTATTTTCATGGCAATCCTGCAGTTTGTGGATTGAAAGGTTACCGACGCCAAATGGTGCTTCGTCTCCCCCAGCTGATGTACTTGGATGAAAGACCCGTTTTTACAGAGGAACGTCGTTGCGTGGAGGCATGGGGCTCTGGCGGAGAGGCAGCGGAGGCACAGGAACGGGCGATGATTCAAAATGAAAAAAAGAAACACCTGGAAAGCTGTGTGAGCATTTTGTCTGACCGTATGGAAGAAAATCGCGCTCTCCGTGACAAACTGACAAAACAATGGGAAGAAAAACGTGCATTGGAACTAGAATGTTTGAGAAACATGCGTCGCGAGTTTCATGCCCAGCGGGAGGAGCTGACACTGATGGAAGAGCGTTGCAGGCCATCTGTGGGGGATGCCGAAGTCGCCTCGCGGCTCCGCATCGAGGAGGAATTCCGTGTCACAAAAATTACGCTTGACGCCATGGAGAAGGCACACCGCCGAGCCTATGACCACGAGAAAGCGATGGAGGCTGTGCAAGAGGAGGCGCTTAAAGAGATTGAAGAGGAGTTTCAGCAGCAGCAGCATCAGCATCAGCATCCACAGCCGCAGCCGTCGCAGACTGGTTTGGGATATGAAGATAATTCTGTGCAAGCTCTTTTGATGTCGGATGAAGAGATGCTGCAGGAGATGGAGGAGGAAATACTGCGCGTACTGGAGCCTCTTGAGGGGGCTGATCATGTAAGCCGAACGACGTTGAAATTGGAGCGCGCGGTAGATGCTGTGGCATCCCGCCTGTGTGGGGGAAAGAGATCCTCAGCAACATCACATCGTGTGCAACTGTGGAAAAAATTTGCCCAGTGGGAAATGCGTTTGAAAGAGTAAAAACTGCTTGAACTGCTCCATGAATGTATAGTGATGGCGTCTCTGCGATGTCGAGAAACCACAACTGCAATCCCTCCAAAAAAAAATTAAAAACGAGTGGAAGGAAATATAGGAGGGATCGTACGGGTACAGTTGTGTTGTAATCGGTCCGCTGCGTACATCCTCTTAGTGCTACTGTTGGAGGTGGACTTTGAGTTGATTTTTTGCTTTTACTTTTTTCTTCTTTTTGTTGTTGTTTTATTATTTCTTTCTACGGGTGTGTGTGTGTGTGTGCTTTTGGGGTTTTGGAGAGTTCTAGAAGAGGCTACATGTCAGCCAATGTTGTTCTTGTTACCGGAGGAAGCGGCCTTGTCGGAAAGGCACTTGAGGCAGTGCATGGGCGCAAGCCTTGTGCTGGCGAAACATGGGTGTTTTTGTCAAGCCGGGATGCAGACCTCACATCGGTGGAGGCAACGAAGGCGGTGTTCGAAAAGCATCGGCCCCATTATGTGATTCATTTGGCAGCGAAGGTTGGTGGCCTTTTCAAAAATATGAGGCAACCTGTGGAGATGTGGCTTGAGAACGTTGCCATTAATAATAATGTGCTGGAGTGTTGCCGCATATTCAAAGTAAAGAAGCTTGTCTCCTGCCTCTCCACTTGCATCTTTCCCGACAAGACGACCTACCCTATTAATGAGGATATGCTACACAATGGACCGCCGCATTGCTCCAATGAGGCCTATGCGTATGCAAAACGTATGATGGAAGTTATGAATCGCGCTTACCGGAATGAGTATGGGTGCAATTTCACATGCGTTATCCCTACCAATGTCTATGGACCGCATGATAATTATGATTTGCAGAATTCTCATGTTGTGCCCGGCTTAATTCATAGATTTTATCTGGCAAAGAAGGAGGGCAACCCAACGACTGTGATGGGTACCGGTAAGCCACTTCGACAGTTTATTTACAGCGAGGATTTAGCAGAATTGATGATTTGGGTAATGCGTGAGTATGCAGAGGAGAGTCCCGTTATTCTTTCCGTTGACGAGAGCGACGAGGTATCCATTGCGGATGTTGCCAAAATGGTTGCAGAGGCTATTGATTATAAAGGTGAAATTATCTTTGATTCTAGCAAGGCAGACGGGCAATATCGAAAGACGGCCGACAACAGTAAACTCAGGAAGTACATGCCAGAATATAAGTTTACCCCCATGAAGGAAGGCATTAAGCGATCAGTCGAATGGTTTGTTCAAAATTACGATAGAGCACGCAAATAGACTGCGCGCATTCTATTATTATCTGTCATTCTACACCTTGGATGCTGGTGCTTGCCTATTCCTTTTTTTGTTTTGTTTTGTTTCTCATTTGGAGGGAAATGGGTTTGCTCTTGTCGTTCTTTGTTTGTTTGGGTCCAGTGAGAGGATCGATGTGATGGTTGATGCCTTCTTCCCCGCGTGTAGGTGGCAGTCTGTGTATTTTTCTACCTTTTTGTTTTAGTTTTGTTAGTCGTTGCGTTTCTGTTGGTCTATTGAGAAGCCGCATACCGCGTTGCGGTTCTGCCAGCAGTCGCCTTTTAATTCCCTGCCGCTTTGTGCCCATTTATTTATTTATTTATTATTTATTATTTTTTTTCATGTGTGTGTGTTTGCTTTTTTGTTTTTGTTTTACCAACTCTCTTTTTTTTCTCCTCTTCCTCATTCACTTACCCCACTTTACACCAACCAAAATATATCTTCACTATCGCACGTGGGCACAGCGCTTCGACCTCGAACTTCGAGTAATAAAACCACAGAGTAATGCCCGCCAAGTCTGCTCCCAAGGCTACTCCGCCCAAGAGCGAGAAGAAGAGTGCTGCCAAGGCCCCTGCACCTAAGACTGAGAAGAAGGCACCCGCTCCCAAGGCACCCGCTCCCAAGGCACCCGCGCCCAAAAGCACCGCTGCTGCGCCCAAGGCTGCCGTGAAGGAGACGAAGCAGCGCACTGATGGCGGCAAGCACCACGGCGTGTACGTGAAGAACTGGGGTCAAGGCTCTGTGGACGACGCCAAAGCGATCTTCAGTAGCGCCGGTAATGTTGTCGGCGTGAGGGTGCGTCGTCGCCGCTACGCCATCGTCTTCTTTGAGAACGTGGCGGCAGTGAAGAAGGCCATTGACCTCTTCAACGAGAAGGAGGTGATGGGCAGCGTTGTGTCCGTTGTTCCTGCCAAGACGACTCCGAAGCCTGACCCGCACGAGAAC